ATAAAACACAATGTGGAAGAAGTTATTATCTGATGAATTTTTCAGATTTTACAGATTTTCTATGCAAAAATCAGATTTACATATAGATATCGGGAGGTCATAACTTCTTCATTCCAAGCCCAAAATTTATGTTCTTTATACCGTTGGAAAGGTCTCAAGAAGATCTATCCAACCATGGCACACAAAGCATAGTTTGGAAGAAGTTATCATGTGATGAAATTTCAGATTTTATCAATTTTCACTCCATAAATCAGATTTATATCTAAATTCAAGAGGTCATAACTTTCTCATTTCAAGTCCAAAATTAATGATCTTTATATCATTCGAAAGGTATTGAGAAGATCTATCAAATCATACCAAATAGACAGCATGTAACTTAATGTTTAAAAAGTTATCATGTGATGGAGTTTTGGGTTTTATCAAGTTCCATGCAAAAAATTCAGATTATCGTCCAAATTTCAAAACTTCTTTCTTTCAAGTCCAAATTTGAGTTCTTTATATGGTTGGAAAGCTTATGAGAAGACCTTTCTAACCACACTAATCTTGCTGCATGAAAATGGATGAATAGATGGCAGTAAATTATCAAATGATGCTATTAAATACCACATAAGGTTTCAAAATTTTGCGTACAAGATTCATAACCCAATTCTATCATATAATGGCATAATTAAGCATGAATTACAGCAAGGAATTCAACCTTATTGCTCTGATACCAATGTAGGAAAATCGTAACATGATTTGACATGAATTTCAGGTCAATAAACTTACTTGAAATGATGAATTTCAAGATCTTTGTGTAGTTGAATCACATTGCCTTCAAATCTTCAAAATCTGCATTTTATTGTACTCCAGTGGTCCAAATCCCGATCATAATAGAAGGGTATTACTATCCACAATCTAAGTGTCATTTCTTGTGAGATTTCATGCCAAAAATGTGATTCTAAGGTCTTTTCAATTTTGGTGTGAATTCATATACGAATTTTCACTATATTTTTCATACCACCTTATTGTTCCTTTTTCCACAACTTCTATATAGAGTTTTAAGTAGTTATTTGGGAGTTATAGATTTGAATTCTAAATTCAAACCACTTCCTTCAACCCTTATAAAATCTTGCGAGTCGGATCACCCCACATGGGACGCATTATCCGTATTTTCCAACAATATAAAAAAAGCTCTTAAAGCAAAAATAATTATTACTAGAACATCATGCTAAGAACACCTGCACATCTATTTATGCCCTAAACGTATCACAAATCATTTCACTAAAAATGGCAATGATAATGCAATTATGCACCACATTATTGCGCTGGAGCAGCTAGACAAAATCAACGGTGAACAAGATACAAAATTTACAGCAGACTAAGCTACAAAGTAATTTTCCACAGACTACCAACAATAAAATGCCCAGGATATTTTTACATGAGGATCCTTTTTGTTTCAATAAAGGGAGACGGAGAAAAAAGGGGAAAGAAACATAGCACATAAATCGTTAATCTTCTTGGTCATTCCCTTGATTTCCTTCTCAACTTTCTTTATGCTAGTAGAATAAGGTCCCATGCCCTACATGCATCATTCCAAGAACTTCAACGAAAGAGTGGTGGGTGAGGGCTTAATATTTAAAACCCAGTAAAAAACAGTCCCATTCAAGAATTACTTGTTCCAATGGCCACTAAACTTAGATTCATGTCTTTAATTGGTCACTAAAGTTTAAAATATCGAGTTTTGATCACTAAACTTAGATCCATGTCTTTGATTGTTCACTGAAATTTAAAATGTCGAGTTTTGACCACCGAACCTTAGAAAATATTGTACTATACTCACTAGCAGAAATGTTGAACTTTGAAAAATGTCGAGTTTACAAGAAGTAATGTACAATATTTTTCAAAATTCAGTGGTCAAAACTCGACATTTTAAACTTTAGTAACAAATTAAAGACGTGGACCTAAGTTTAGTAATCATTGAAACAATTAACTCCCCATTCAATTATTGATGGTATTCTTAAATCAGCACTATTTATTCATTAAACTAAATGATAACCTCTGCATATGCAAAGAAAAATCTAAAAATTTCAACTAAAATGAGTAGGAAAATAGATAAAAGAGCAAATTTTGAGAACAATGGTCTGTTTGATTGCAAGAATGGAGTTTGATTGGAAAGAAAACGAATTTCAGAAAATTGAATTGCCTATAACTTATTTTACTGGGAATTGTCAATTAAATGTGTTTGATTTATATAGTTTTTCACTTGAAAAAAATATTGAAATTTTGGATCTTTTGGTGTTCGTTTGGTTTTATTTTTCATAAAATTTGTCAATTAAAGTGATAGAATTTGTTACAATTGAGAATAAAATTTGTTTCAATTGCCCAAAAAAAAACCTAGAAAACAAAAAATCACCAAATCTATGGGAAAATCAATTCCTCAAAGGGTGGAAAAGGGGTCACATGGGGTGTTGCCAAAAATATTTAATTGTGTTTTTACAGTGTAATTTGTTTTGCTTATTCAAAAATAAAATGAACAAATAATTTTACTCTATCTTTAAGAAAATTGTGGAGAGAAAACATAATCTGAGACAATTTATGTTAATTGGAGAATAAAAATGCGATAAAATAGTTTGAGACGAAATGTGATAATGTGTAAATATTAAGAACATTTTATACAACTAAAATATAATTTAGTCATTAAAAATTGGGTGTGAATATATTTAGCCTAGAAGAATATATAAACATAAAAAGTTTTAATGTTAAATTTCAATTTTAATGAAATAAATAGTGTGATGGAAGTCATAAAACAAACATCCACGTGAACACGTGGCACAATCTCCTTCATCTTTTGTTTTCAAACGCTACACTGGATAATTCCCTCCTTTGTCCGAGCATTTGCCTGTAACCTTAAGTGCGTGACACGTTATGACAGCCTCGGAATACCCAAAAATAACTTCCCCAAGTGGGACCCACCTATTTTCCTCTACAACGTCATCACAGCGCCGGAATCATCGTCCATCACTGGACCCCGCCGTGACCCTTTTTTCCACACTGGAAAATGAAAATTGGCAAATATTTAACATTAGTCCATTTCTCAACTAGAAAGTTAGTCCTCATACTCCTTGCTCTCAATAATAACCACATTGTAATGTAGGGATGGAAACGAATCGAACTCGGGCTCGGCTCGATTAAAATTGTCGAGCTTTTTTGCGAACTCGAGGCTGGCTGAGCTTTTAAATAGGCTCAGTCTGAGCCTTTGCTCGTGCTTTTTCCGGGCCAAGTCGGGCAAACTCGTTTTCTCCCTTTTTTTTTTTAATAATTCCTGAACTGCTACCTTAAAATGCAGCAGTTTGCTGCCCTTTGGCAGCGTCTAATTTAAATTATTAATTTTATCAAGTTGAGAAACGCAACTAACTTTATCTCGTTATTACTTACGACCACGGATGATTTAAGATTCAATCAGATGTAATTTGTATCTCACAATCACAACTCCTTGTGATTAACAAATTACAAATATTTGAATCTACGGACTCTATTATTTATTTAATTGTCTATTAATTAAATAATAGATCTGCCATTTAATTGCATTAATTATATATAAAAGTATTTATGTCCAAAGTTGATTGGACCTAGGGCATAATACTTACACGGACCACAAACAAATCAATGCTAGCAACTTCCAGGATCAAAATCTTGAAGGTCACGTTCCTAAAATAAATTTTAATTTAGCACGCTTAATAAAAACCAGGGGTGTTACAATATTTTTTGTATAACTTTTCAATCTAAAATTTACAAAAGGAATGACAATCTAATGTTGATGAACTAACTTATTTTTCTTGAACTTTGCTATTTGTACACTGATTTTTAATATTTTGATTGACACTTGCATTGTTGCAAGTGTCAATTAGGTAAAAAATCGTTTGAAATTTAAATTGTTCAATAGGATAATATCACATGACAAAGTGTAAACTAAAAAATACATGTAGCAAGATTGATTCTTCTTCTGTAACCTCAACCAACTTCCCACAAAGCCATTTCTTACATAGTTCGGGCCGCATTTCAATTTTCTCAGATCGAAAGTTTAGCCCATCGGCTTCTGTCCACTCTCCTCAATGCCATCTATTGAAGAGTTACTCCTATTATCCAACTCTGGTGGGGGAAAATGTCTGTAACTTCTAAGTAAATCATTGTTACGGGAATTTGAAGACACTGCACTACCATTTAAGAAATCTGGCACAACTAACTTGTTGAAATTCAAGCCTTGTTGAAATTATCCTTTTTCATAAAATTTCTCAATTAAATAATACTATATAACTTAACCCGATGGTTCTAACTTCAAAATGCTAAGAACGAGTTTATGTTTTCTTTGAATAGAGAAGTTATATTTTTTGCCTAATTAAATGCAATGAGTTCTAGTGACCCATCGATTTATATTACAATGTCAATTAAAATGATATTTGAGCATCCATTCTAAAAACATTCTCCCATTCCGTTCCACTTCCTGCTTGTTTTCTCTTTCCCATCTAAGTGCTTGTTTGGTAGAGATTTTGTTAATTGATTTTTTGACCGTTAGAGGTAAAGTGAATTCTATCTGTGAGAGAAAAATTCAAAAATGACGGCTAAATAGTGAAATAACGGTCAAAAAATTAATTTTAATTGAATTTTAAACCGTACCAAACATGCTCTAAATTCTTTATGGTCATTGCTTCATTGCCCGCCTTAAAGTGGCAAAAGGAAAACGGAATGTCACTCCTTTTATCCCCTCTGAAAGAAGGATTTTCAATATGTATATTGTGATTTTTGTTGCTTTATTTTACTCAAATGAAATAATTCCTTTTTTTTTTTTTTTTTCAAATATTTTGTGATAATCTGACTTGATTTAAGTTCATAAAAAAAGGCGACTGGTAGTTTGAGTTTGAACTCTTCTCCGTTTACCCAGTCAAACGCCCCCCGTGTCTATTTAATTTCCAGGCAACTCATTCCCCGTTGACGGCTCTTTCCAGTCGTCCTCCAATTTTATTGAAATTTCTGCCCATATAATTAACTACATTCTTTTCAGAATAGCTCACAATTTCCATCCTGTTATTCTTTCCTCATTGTATTAGTCTATCGTTTAGACAAGAAAATTCCTAGGTGGGTTCTGCGTAAAATTTCACAAAATCAGAAATTTTAAGGAATTCACTCAAAATTTCAATCAAATTCAGAGTTATCCCATCTGGGTTTCGTCTATAAGATCAGGATTTAGTTCAAATCCATCATCAAAGCACAAAAAGTTTCTATCATTTTGTCATTCGCTTTAAAAATCGCACAAAATATAAAATGAGCGAATCACCGAATATAGGCGACGCAAATGTGATTGAGGTCTCGGGGAAGATGATACTGATGACTATAACAGTCATCATCTTCCTTGTAGTCTGTGTCTTTTGCGGACACCTTTATGCCAAATGGGTCTGGAACCGCCGCCGAGAGAACAGCACCACAGGGCCGGGCAACCAAGTAACGGCCTTGCGTAGTGGTCTCGATCCCACTATCCTCAGAACCATACCTGTAGTAATATATTATCCCAATGAGTTCAAAGATGGATTGGAATGTGCAGTGTGTCTTTCTGAGGTCTCACAAGGGGAAAAAACCAGGTTTCTACCAAAATGCAATCATGGGTTTCATATGGATTGCATTGATATGTGGTTCCAATCTCATTCCACTTGTCCTCTTTGTCGAGACTTTATTTCGAATCCTAGTAATCCTGAAGACACTGTAATTCAAACCCCAATTGAAGAAAATTCAGGCCAACCACCAAATATTCCCACCAATGTGTTGTTCTGGGGTAATGAGACTCAAGTTAGTACATTTGGACCTTGTTTAGAGGATGGCACTGCTTCGTCTCAACCCCCTTGCTCGTCGACAAACGGGATGCTTGTGATTGACATTCCAAGACAGATTAACGAAGAGGAAGATGAAAAATCGCCAGTCCCTTCGCGTTTGAAAAGGCTTCTGAGTGGTAGTATGAAGTTCAACCCTTGGAGTCCTAGAAATGAGGATATGGTACGAGAAAGTAGCAGTCAGAGTTGATATCCTCATCCAAATGTCTCCATGTAATTATACACAAATTTTTCAGTAGGGGAGTGTGATACTGCAGTTAAAGATCCTCTCTTTTTTAATTGTAAAATATATATTTTTTACCATTATTTTATAATTCCAGTAATATTTCTAATTTTTCCTCCACTTCACATGTTTATTTGTTCTATTTTTATTTTTTTTTTAATTCTTGGAGGAGATGAAACATATACAGCTTAGAAAACATATGGGCTCTCTGCTTGAGGGTGAAAGTGATTCCGTTTCTTTTACAGAAGAGTGCTAGGGAAATTACACTCCAGTTTGTCGACATTGGAAGCTATGACGTTACAATTATAAGAAATTTATTTGTTATACAAATTTTCTCTGAGTCTGCCTCTTTATATGTTGAGCTATGACGTTACAATTATAAGAAATTTATTTGTTATACAAATTTTCTCTGAGTCTGCCTCTTTATATGTTGATTATACCAACTTCGTTTCTTTTCTTGCTTTCATTTGATTGTTCAGTGATTATAACAAATGGCATACTATAATTCAGAAACGATTCAGAGCACTTGAACTTGAAGGATGCCTATTGTCGAAGTCCCATTTTTTTGAATATTGTTTACATTTAGTACGCGCTTTGTTATTATGCCCTTGTTTAAGCCCTATTCTTTTGGGAAAATTCATTTTTCAACAGTATTTTGACATCATTTCAACCACACATTCTTCAATAAAATAATATTACACGCAAATCTAAAATATTTCCTTATTTTTTAACCACACATTTTCCATCAATATACTATTCAAAAATTCATTCTTTCCCAAAAAAATGGGGGCTCAAACAAGGGCTATAATATATTATAGGCAAGAAGATGTTCCTTGCCACAAGCTTGGGAACTATATTTTTATCCAACCAAGCAGACAGTAATGAGCTTTGCTTTCTCTTCACAATCTGATAGTTTTACATAAACAAGCACCACAGCCATAACAAGATTTTCAAAATTACAATTCTTTACTAACAAAACTTACTTTTCAACTAACCAAACATGTTCTTAACTCACCAAGTAAACAGGTCCATAAGATAGAACATCTTGGGGATTGTTAAGCTGGCCAAGAGACATATAGGGCACCTCATCCTCGACTCGCCTTGTTAAGTTTAAAAGACCTATGAGAGGTCCCAATGTCAGCCTACGGGCCCAGAATCCCCCAGTAATGCTAGCTCCAGTTCCGTCCGGTTTGCCATTTCTAGTCTCTCTTCTCAACCAGGAAAATAAGGAACTTTTCCAGGATTTCTTGTTCCTTTTCCCCTTATCTAATTTTTTCTTTCCAGCTTCTTCATGGGGTGCAGAAATCAAATTCCCATCGAATCCATTCATTCTTGGTTCTTCCAAGAACTGAAGTCAAAAATCAAAAATAATTATATTAGATAATATCCACTTGAAAATCTAAATATTCGGATAAAAACAAAAAGACCTGTGTAACGTATGTTTGGTAATCAAATTCATAACCACAGTAATCCGTAGTTGTGTGTTTTCGGCTCATTGTAGATGTCTTCATTCTTGCCTGAAATTCAAAGAAAAAGCTTAATCGATTGATGAAGGAAAATATTGTGCATTTCATATCTAATACGACCAGAACCTCATTGGTTGGAAATTCGGAAAGATCACAGTTTCGTGCCTACCTTGTTACTGAGTGTTGTTCACTTACAGCACCAGCAGAGGCAAATAACACAAGCTTTTATATTCATTTCATTGATGCAATTACTATTTACTACACTTTACGATTTTGTGTTATTTTTTTCAGGTGGAAAACGTAAAGGCCAGCTAACTGACTGGGTAGTTAAGCTCCCAATGATGTTACATAGAAAAGGAAGGTGTCGTATTTGAGAACAAAAAAGGACACTCTCGGGCCAACAAATAAAATTTTAAAAACAGGGGAAAAGGGAGAGTCGCATCAGCGTTTTGTACTTGTAACCAATAATGAGTCGAGTTGAGTGAACAAAACAATACGTTCAATCGTGCCACGGCCGGCCGAATGGAATATATTTGTGTAAGGACTGATTTTCCTATTCTTTGATATGCTTACCTTCCAACAAACTCCAAAGAACATAATTACCCTTTTTTTGCTTTAGCTTTGCAGATTTGAGAGACATTTGCATGTGCAAAGACTATAAGAAAGGAATATTTGAAATGAAACCCGTTAAGCAGTGTCTTTAGTGGGTGTACTAACTAATAATTAAGAAGATAAAAGTTTTCTAGGCCCTTTTTCGAGGGAAATAAGAATCATTAATGCAAAGGTGGGTGACAAAAGCACAAAAGATGGGAGTGTTTCATGCAATTGGAAATGAATGTTTGATATAACCAAGTATTTGTTCCCGACGTATTTATCCCGAGGACTCTATTTCGTCGATATGTCTACCAATATGCTCGGGACATATGTGCTCGGGTATCTCCATATGCCCGAGCTATTAGCCCCAAGAATTATTCGACAATCATTCGACATGTCATCGGGATTATGACCTACGTCAACACCTTATCCAACGAGAAATTTATTCTGACTAAAAATCCTCAACTCATGTCTCCTATGCCTAGAAGAACTCTATTGGTATCACAGTTATATCGCAATTCAAACTCCTATCTCGTGCAGGACTCATTAGGATAAGATTGCAAAATCAAGCTATCCTGCTACAGGTGCACTACGGAATCCTAGTATGAACACACCACCTACCTCTATAAATACAACACCTTGAGCCATTATTTAGGTACGTTTTTCATTGTTCTCCAGCACATAGCCTCACGCACAAAATTCCCATTCTGACTTAAGCATCGGAGGGGCGACGAGAACACACCTCGTTGCCTTTGTTTCAGGTACCGGAAGATCACGTTCATACTCCTTATCAGTCATCAAGCTCGGAAAATCTATAGGTATGATTTTTGGTAGTATCATTGGCGCCGTCTGTGGGAATCGCTACCAAAAGCCATGGTAAACACACGATCAGGTCTTCCACCAGCAAGCTCATCCGCTCCAAACCAACCCCCTCCTGAGGATATCCCTGTTCCTCAAGAGGAATCATCAGAAGTGCCAGAGCCCCAGCCGACAGTCGTCACTACTGGAGCCTTTGAAGAGCTCAGACAACAGGTCGCCACACTGACTCAGCTGCTAAGTCAAAGAAATTAGCATCCTTCACCCACACCGGCACCCCAGGGGGGTTTTATGGCTGATGCTCGAGAATGGAGGAGCAGGGGCCTTAGGAATACCACATGTGACCTCGGCCTCGAGATCAGTGACCATGGAGTCCGAGGAACTCGCTAGGATTATTCAAGAAGGAATTACGGCGGGCCTACTTCAGGGCAACAAAGGGACGACAAGATTCAGTCCCAATACTCCATTTACTCCCGAGATATTAACATTCCCCTTGCCAGACAAATTTAAGTATCCTAGGATCAAAGAATATGATGGGACCACCGATCCAATCAATCATCTTAACGTATACACGGACGTCATGAATCTATAGGTCACACCAGATCAGGTGATGTGCAAGGCCTTCCCGCAAACTTTGACGAATGTTGCTAGGGATTGGTTCTCAACCTTAGAGCCCAACTCTATAGCCTCATTCTCGGATTTGGCGAACAAGTTCTCTGCTTTCTTCGCAAGCAGTAAACGCATAAAGAAGACAGTGGCTTCCCTCATGCAACTTAGACAAGGGCAAAATGAGACCCTACATGACTTCATGACCAGGTTCAACAAGGAAAGACTTCAGATTCCCGACCTACACATAACTGCAGCAGTTTCTAGCCTCACATATGCCATAAAGTGTGAGGCTTTCAAGATGTCTTTATCCAAAACTCCGCCAAAAATAGTGATCGAGCTTCTTACCCGAGCCGAGAAGTATATAAATATGGAGGAAACGCTGAACCCGAGAAAGGTTAGACCACCCCATGACAGGGTCGAGCATAAACGACAACACGACCCGAACCCCCGTGAAGAACAACATCGGAAAAGATAGAGACAGGAGGTTCCCCCGACGTCATTCACGCGTTTAAATACGCCAAAGACAAATATATTGATGGAAATCAAGGATATGAAGGAACTCAAATGGCCTGTCAGAATGAGGTCACCACCCGAATCCAGGGACATGAACAAGTACTGTGAGTTCCATCGGGATCATGGGCATACCACGGAGAACTGTAAGGCCTTGCAACGGGAGATTGAAGCCCTTATTAAAAGAGGACTCCTGAGTTCCTACGTCGGTAACGACAAACGCCCGAGGAATGATCGGGCAGGGAAAAAGCCCCTGAGACAAAAAGGGATGGTCAACCCACTGCTGGAATCATCAATATCATCATTGGGGATATTGCCTCGGGAGGAGACTCCAACAGTGGAAGAAAACATTATGCCCGACAATATGCCTTGACCTTTGGGATGCCTCATGGAAAGCTGGAGGATAGTACTTTTGGGACCGGGGATTTAGAAGGTGTATCACTTCCACATGATGATGCCTTGGTAATCTCAGCGATTGTGGCCAATTTTGAAGTAAAGAGAATCTTGGTTGACAACGGGAGTACGACCAATATACTTTCACAAGAAGCTTTTGCCAAAATGGAAATCTCATCTCAGCAGTTCAAAGCGGTTAAAACACCTCTCCAGGGGTTTGGGGGAGGAGTCATCACTCCAGAGGGTGTCGTCAAGCTTCCTCTAACGTTGGGTTCTAGCCAAAAGTAGGTTACAGAGATGACATCTTTTCAAGTGGTACGCATCTCAATGGCCTATAACGCTATTCTGGGAAGACCACTCCTGAACAAAATTAAACCTATTGTGTCTTCCTTCCACCTAGCCATGAAGTTTCCAACAAGTAATGGCGTTGGGGTCGTGCGTAGAGACCAAACAGCTGCCAGACAATGCTATGTTGCCAGCGTTCGGAAAATAAATAACGACGTCGTGCAAATCTCGAGGATGGAGCCCGAGGCCGGGCAACAAGTCAGACTTGCTCCTATCGAAGAATTGATGGAAATTGAGTCAAGCATGATAAGAAGGTGACGATTGGTTGGGATCTTGACGTCACCCTGAAGACAGAACTTGTTGGTTGCTTATCTCGCAACATTGACGTTTTTAACTGGAAGGTTGAGGATATGTCAGGGATAGACCCTAAAATTGCAGTCCATAGACTTAACATTAGCCCAGGGGCCCGATCAGTAAAGCAGAGGAAAAGACAGTTTGTCCCAGAACGCCGGGAGGTCATTCGCGAAGAAATTAACAAGCTCGTCAGTGCTCAATTCATTCGGGAGGTCCAATATCCCGATTGGCTTGCCAATGTTGTTTTAGTGAAAAAGGCCAATGGTAAGTGGAGGGTCTGCATTGACTTCACAGATCTTAACAAAGCATGTCCAAAGGATAGTTATCCCCTACCGCAGATTGATAACTTGGTGGATAGCACGTGTGGACATAAGCTCTACAACTTCTTGGATGCATTTTCTGGTTATCATCAAATCCTCATGGCCGAGGAAGATCAAGAAAAGACATCATTCATGGCCGATTCCGCCATATACTGTTATAAGGTCATGCCTTTCGGTTTGAAGAATGCAGGGGCAACATACCAAAGGCTCATCAACAAAGTCTTTGGTAACTTGATTGGAAGGAATGTGGAGGCGTACATTGATGACATGGTGGTCAAAAGCAAACAGGTGGACCAGCATATTTCAGATCTTGAAGAGGTTTTCGACACCTTGCGAAAGTACGGAATGAAGTTGAACCCCGCAAAATGTGCATTTGGCGTGGCCTCGGGCAAGTTCTTGGGCTTTATGATCACTCACCGGGGGATAGAGGCCAACCCTGACAAAATACAAGCCTTGGCGTCTATGGAATCACCAAGGAACAAGAAAGAGGTACAGAGGTTGACTGGTAGGATAGCAGCCTTGAACAGGTTCATGTCCCGAGCATCAGACAGGTGTTATCCTTTCTTCAAAGTCCTCAGAGGAAACCAAGGCTTTGATTGGAGTGAAGACTGTGAGAAAGCTTTTCAGGAGCTTAAGCAGACATTGGCATCTCCTCCTATCCTCACTAAGCCTGAGCCTGGTGACACCTTATTTTTGTACCTGGCCGTATCTCAAAACGAGGTCAACGGGGTCTTGGTGAAAGAGGTTAACAAAGTCCAACAACCTATCTACTATGTAAGCAAGGTCCTACTAGATGCGGAAACAAGGTATACTTTGGCGGAACAACTTGCCCTTGCCTTGGTTATAGCAGCAAGGAAACTCCGGCAGTATTTTCAGTCTCACACTATTGTGGTGTTCACTAATCAACCACTTAGGCATATACTTCAGAAGCCGGACGTATCGGGAAGACTGATGAGATGGGCAATCGAGCTTGGAGAATTTGACATAGAATTCAAACCACGCCCATCTATTAAAGGCCAAGTACTAGCCGATTTCATTGTAGAACTAACCCCTAGGCCTCGGGGGTCAGGTGACAGCTCGAGCATGAGCACTGATTTGGATACTTGGCAAATTTTTGTGGATGGAGCATCGAACTCCTTGGGCTCGGGCGCAGGGCGCATCATCATCAGCCCTGACAAACAAACAGAGATCTAATGTGCTCTTAAGTTCGAGTTTGAAGCAACCAACAACGAGGCCGAGTATGAGGCCGTCGTTATTGCTCTGGAGCTAGCCCTCTGCCTCGAGCTCGAGTTTGTAAAGATATTCAGCGATTCACAACTGGTGGTCGGACAGATTGAAGGATCATTTGAAAGGAAAGACGAGAAAATGAGTTTGTACTGTATGAAGGTTCAAGATCTTCAACGAAAATTCAAGAGTTGTGAAATTGCAAAAATTGCTCGAAAGGACAACGGAAAAGCCGACGCATTATCCAGGCTTGTGTTCATGGGGGTAGACGACCTTGACAGAAC